TTATAAATTAATATTTATTTCTAAAATTCATTTAACCAACTAATTTAATGCTTGGCTATCCGATAATAAAAAAAAAATAAGTATTTTTACTAGAAAAATTTGTTTATTGCAACTTTTTTGAAAGTGATTTTTTAATCATTATTTTATTAGATAGGAGATTGTAGTGCACTTACAAATGGTAAGATATTCATACTGTATAAATTATATAGTTAATACTTTTTATATGAATATATCAAGATAGAACTTATTAACATTTAATATTAATGATCTGTTATGCATTACTAACAGTAATATTAATTTTTTTTTTTAACTTAAAGGCTTCTCTTTTCTTTGCTCTAATTCAACCTTTTTTTGTACTTTTTTAGCTTCCTGATCAGCTCGTTTTTTGGCTGCTGCTTCTTTTTTTTGCTTTGCACTTTCTGCTTTCTTTTTTGCTAACTCGTTTATTTCTTTTAATTGTTGTAGACTTTCTTCATTAGTAAAAAGTCGAGTGAACAAAAAATTTTTTCTTTTTTTTGGCTAAACAGATTCTGATTTGACTTGTTTTGGAATTCTTGAAGTGGGATATTTAAGAAACATTTTTAATAGGCAAGTACCAGGATTTTTAAATGTCTCAAGTTCCTCTTATGTTGATTGGTAAGGTTATTTTATAGTCGCATTTTCTTTTTTTAAAGAATCAATTTCTGCTAAAAGTTTATTCACATTAGTAACACTAACCCAAGCAGAATTATTTGGATGAAATGAAATATTAGAATGTTTATTTATTTGAGAGGATGATGTAGTATTTGGTGAAGGCAGCTCTTGTTTGACTTGTGCAGATAAAGATAAATTATTAATTTGTTCAACTTGCATAGATAATAAATTATCGATTCGTTCAGTTGATAGAGAAGGACCGAGATGATCTGGGCTTATGGCATTAGGGTTAAAAGGCCAAATTCCCATAACTTTATAAGCTTTGGTAATCACTTTGGGAGTATAAGTCTTGTTAAATGCTGGCCCAAGCATTTTTGCAAATATATATTTAGTTACTAGCTTGCTAGTTTTACTGTGAAGTTTGTCACAACCTTTACTGTATTCAGATTTAAGTTTAGCGAAAGGTAGCTCAGATGGCTAGAAAAAGTGAGTAGTATGAGGTAGGAATGCGTAAAGTAGAATTTCATTTTCATGACAGAAGTCAACACTCATATAATTTACATGACTTTTATGTCCATCTAGTATTAAAAGAACAGGCTAACTAGATAGAATGGAATTGATAAAGTGTTTAATATACATTTGAAAAAGACTTTCACACATATATCCTAAGTCAGTAAATCCCATAACAGTACCAGCTGGAGCACTATTTAACAAATCTAAAATTGCACGAATGCCTTTATAAATAAATAATAAATCATTTGTTATTTTTTTTAGTGATTTTATATATGATTATGAACTTCTTACCAAGATAAAATATATTCTCAAAAAATACAAAAGATTTGAAAAAGCAAAAGGTGATGGTAGCATTTTTGATAGAGAGTATAGATATAGATACACTTACAAGGGGTTGGAGATGTGTAAATTTGCTGATTTATTTTGTAACAGAGAAGAATATAGCTCTAGCTTTCAAAAATTTTATCATGATTGTCACTTTTCACATAGTAAAGAGGAGTTAAGTTTATATCATGATAATTTTCATTTACTTGATGTAAATATATTATCAAGAAATTAAATTATATATTTTAATTAGTAAATTATTTAATTAGGCCAGATCTTTAAGGAGCATGCGAGTATGCCGAATGCACATTTGTTAATTTCTGGTATTTTTTTTAATTTTTTTTTTATTAATATTGCTCATATCTAATGGTCAATAATTCCAATTAAAATAATTTTAACATTATTCGATTCATCTTGATTAGACAAATTAAATAGTATTAAAATCATTTATTTCTGGTTATTGTATTACAAAATACTTTAAAAAAACTTCAGTACGCCACATTACCACCCATGCCAGAATACCTGACCCTCCCTTATAGTCTAACCAAACAAACAACTAACTTCAAATCTCTACACACTTCATACTAATTAATATAAAACACAATGCTTAATTTTATCAAATCTTATAACTTAAAAGTTACTTTCTATAAAGTTGTTGTATACTCTGACAATAAGCTTAACAACAAAGCAGACCAACTTGCCTATGATTATCTTGATAAGCTCTTTTTTACACTTAATTATTATAATATATACAACTCCTTATTTACTTTAACTATCCAAGGCTATTCTATAAAACTCTCTATCTGTTATAGTATCTATACAATATATTATGCAAAAATTTTCAGCCTCTAGTCATCCCAGAATCACTTCCAAAGATAGACAAAAATTTTTTAATATATTAACTAGAATGCAACTTGGCTCTATCTTAACAATAATTAAAAAGTTACCAACTTTGCTTATAGCTTCCAGTCTTCAGCCTCTAAAACATTCAGAGTTAAGCTTTTTGTTAACAAACTACCTACCCCTTATATTCTGCACAAAAGAAACCCTTAATATCCAAATACTTGTCATATATATCAGCAAACTTCATAGACAAAAGTTCGTCTGATTGGTTAATTTTGTAGATCTATTTGTGATTATTGACTAATCAAATTCATTGCTTTATTACAATATCTGATATTGATATAAGAAAATGAAGCCTTATACATAAAAAGAAAATGTATAAATCAAAAAAAATATATATTCGAAAAATACAGTATGCTATATATAAATATATAAAGAAAATATATATATTAAAGTGATTATTACTTTTAACAAGCTTAAATGCTTTATATTTTACTATATATAACCAAGACCTTTAGTAAATTTTAATATACTTCAAGAACTAATCTAACTTAAGATCTATTCTATACATTATATTGACCTCCTTATTAACAACCTTGTTTTATCTAAAAACCTAACTTAAAATCTTTTAATCTTAAAAAAAAAAAAATAGTTATTTCTGCTAAAAACTATTTCTACTTAACATTTTAAACTTTAGAAAAGGCTTTTTTTTCTTTATCTAGTTCAAAAAGTTGTTATTAAGCTAACCCCTCTTAAATTAGAGATTATTAGAGATTATTTTTGAAGTTAGCTTTCTAGCATCTCTTTGAAGCTAAAAATGATATTTGTTAAGGATAGTTACTTGTATAATCTTACATTCTTAAAAAATACTCTAAACTATATAAATAAGTTACCCAGGCAATTGATTTATATTAGCCAATCAGACGAATTTCTGTTTATAACAGCAAACTAGTACTTTACTACACTGGGCTATTGCCCTATCCCAACTCCTTTATATGAACTTATTACTAACTTACTACAATATTGTTTAACTTCTAACAAACTCCAAACCTCTTCTGTACAAACTAAACAGCTATACAATCTAATTTCTAATCTTGATAGCTTCTGAATATACCTCTTTTCAAACAAATTCTCTATTTTTTTTACACTTTTTGAACTTATTTTTTTTGATATTATACAAACTATATATGAATTTACTACATTGAACCAAATAGCTAATTTAATTACAATACAACTTCTTTTTCATATTAACAAGCAACTCTATACAAATATTTAGATTCCTTATTGTAGCTCAAAACCCACATCTTAACTCTTATCTCCTTCAGCAATCTTATTACTTGAATCTTCACATAACACATATATCTATATAGCTTCTTTTAACAATACTACACAAATATCTATACTCAAAGTTTCATTATAATACTTTGACTAGATTAAATTTCATATACATTCTTCACAAATACTTAATCTATCTAAAATTTAGGTAAGCCTTAGCTACTTTGGTAGGTTTAGGCCATAGATAAAATACTGAGTTTGCTTTTATTAAGCATTTAGTTAGTCTGAGTTCTTATTTTTAGTACTAGATTTAAAATATAAAACCTTTTTTAATCATATAAAAAGTTTTTATTAAGTTTAATAAAAATAAGAGCATAGTCTTACCTTTAATATTAAAAACAAAAAAAAAAAATAATAATAATAATAATAACTATAAATATTATTGCCTCAATAAAACTTATTAAGTTGGTACAAAATTTTTTATTTATTAAATATTTTGACACATTGTTAAATGATTAGATAATATAAAATAAATAAATTATACAATACAAGATTATATAAATAAATATTTTAGAAAAATAATCTTTTCTATTTTACTTTATATAACTTTTAAAAGACACTAGATAGCAAAATTTAAAATGTAATTAAAGCACCATATTGATTATTATGAACTGTTGAATCAAAACCTGATATTAGTATAGAACAAGAAAATTTATGCAAAAATTTTATATTGGTAGCTGCATTATTACAAATTATTAAGATTAATTTTAAGAGTATTCTATTTTTTTGAAAACAGATTTTTATAGCCTTTATAATTTTAACACCTGTATATAAATTATCTATAAAAACAAAGTCAAGTAGAATATATTTTATTTTCTATAATTGATCTAGATAATAAATTGTAACTAATATAAATAACTTTTTATAATTAGAAGTTGTCTAAATATTAGTTATAATAGCTATATATGGGGGGAGTCAATAGAAAAGGGACAAATTTTTCTAAGTAAAAGTTTTCTTGACTTTAAGCTTAAATATCCTAGCAATTATCTTATTAAATTTAATAAATTTTTTTTATTTTAATTCTATATAATTTTAGATTAAAATAAAAAAATTTTTACCAATTTTGATTAAATAGTTGTTGAGATATTTTAATTTAAAAATTAAAAAAAAA